CAAAATACAACCCATTACACTGGCGAATACGAATGACGTCATTAATTGACGCCGTATTCCACCATATTCATACAATGAATCACCAACATGGCGTCGATTTATGACGTCATTTGCTTCGGCCAGTGTACTGGGTTGTATTTCGGAACATACCTATATATTCTTATTTGAATCGCATACCATCAGGTGAAACCTCGTTTGTCACACTTGTATAAAAAGGCAAGAATACAATGTCATTACCACAGGATACGCACATATTACAATACAAACAAAATCCAAAAATAAATAATTTACGCTTTTGCACAAACATTGCTTTATACGAGTATAACATGTGGTCGGCACTGATGAGAAATATCGTTAGGAAACTTGCATGCCTAAAAAATTAAAAGGACAGCGTAGCAGACTGCTTACATCTTCAGAACTCCATCAGAAATATGAGGAGTTCATGCTGCCATTTTAGATTATTTAAATATATAAAACACAGCTTCATGCCTGTTATCCCAAACTACTCCACGTTAAGCTAAAAATATATAGGTATGTAATATATTAGTGTATATATGGAAAATTGTGAAAGAAAAGTGATAGGTTGCTAGTCCATCGTCTACACTATCACAAACTAAATATCCCGTTAGGTGCCCTTTACGAAGCTCGGCAAGCAACACAGTTAGCATATTCTTTTTTTGTTCTAAGTCCCAAACAAACATGGGACCTAATCCCCAACCAATATGGGTCTAAGCAAACTTCAAATATAGTAATTATTAGTATACACATTTTTTTATGAATAATTTTTTTTTCACCATTTCGTACAATTTATGTCTGTAAAATGACTCCACAAACAATCCTAATATAAAGTTGGGGTAACGTTTATAACAAAACATTTAAAGAACTAATAAATTTAAGTGAAAATAACCTAGTGGTTTAACGTACGGTTTATAAAACTTAAAGATGCATGTAAGTGTTTGAATTTGTCATTCAGTTATTGTTGTAAAAATTCAATCATTTAGGCATACTTTTGCTTTATTAATTATAGGAAAATAAACAATCAAATCTTAAACTATCTTGCTCCAGGAGAATCGTTTGTCTACAAATGATAGTTAAATATTACGAGTAATTAAATAATAAATCATTTAAGTAATTAACTTAAATGATAACGATATAACGCTACGTCATTAAACACAAGCTAATTGGATCATTCTGAAACCATAAATGAAAACAAAATAAAAAATATTATAAATTTAAAAGTTTTGGAGAAAACAATTTTTAGGCTCTTTTAATGGCTTTTTTGTTATGGTTAATATCTGAAACTGTTCGTGTTACCACGCCAAAACTTTTCAAGTCCTTTGGAATAGTTACTCGTATGTTCTGCGCGCTAATCATCTGTATTTATTACCTTATCGTATAGGTGTTCGTAAAGGTGTTATATAAGTCGAATAAGCGAAGGATTTTATAGCCCTCGGTGTACATTTATTTAAAATTATTTTGTTTACTATCTGATTTCAATTTTTTTTATTATGCTAACCCATACCCATACCCATATATACCCAAGTGCACGTTCAGTTGTTAACATAATATAGTTAATAGGTATGCGTCTTTCTACCTCTAAATACGGGCAGGGCTATCATACATTTTTCTATACCATAGTTATACTACACTGTTGCACATTCTTTTTTTTAACGTAATTAATTCAGGAAGAGGCGTTTAGCAAGTTACGTCTATGTAATTAATGTAGGATGTAAGCCTCAGCCTAATAAAAATGTCTAGTGCAGCAGTCACTAATCCACCTATCGATTGCTTTTTGAAAAACCCTGTTTATGGAGAGACGTATCTCCAGCAGTTGACTTAAATATGCTTATAAATGGATGAACCGCTACTCAAATTGACGCGGACAAAATTTGCATAAACGGAGAACATAATATTTAAAAAAAAAACAACCTCTAATACATGACTTAGTAAAAACCAACGTTTCTACTTTGTTCGCTGGCATGATTTTTTTAATATAGAATACAATTTATTTCCATATCTGTTAAGGGGATAGAGTAAGTCAGCTCAAATTCTAATTTCGTCCCCACTTGCCCGCGCGTCGTATGCTATGTACCGACATGTTTGTAATCACTAATACTGTAAGTAGATAGGTCGTTAGACACTTATTTCATTAGGTTTATCATGTTTATGCCTGTTTCTTAACGCCAAGCCAGTCGCTTCTTATTGTTATTACGGTTATTTCCCATTTTAATTTTACGTCGTCCTGTTGCGTAATGTATATTCTGATCGTAAGCGACACAACCTCCCCTTTCAAAGGCCGAAGCGAAGTGACTGTGCGGAAGGAATCACGCTTCAAAAGGCCGATAGTTTAGGTAATTTCTTTTTACAGTGAAAATAATGGTATTTAAAAAAAAGTAAATAACATAAGCACTGCTTTATAGTTAATTCAGTTAGTATGCAAAGTTTCATGTTCTTATATAAAGTATTTTATGAATAACAGCGGTTTATTGTTTATTTTGGAGGTAACTTTGGATTTTTTTTTCTGTCGAGAAAATTTTACGAAATCGTGTTTTCGTCTAACATAATCCTTAACATTAATCCTCAACTTTACCATATATTTATTTCAAAATTAATGCTACAATATTTTCGGCATAACGAAGGATCTTGCTAAGCCATTTGAGATTATATTTCCCCTTAAGTACGACCTGTTTCACAAATAAATTGCTGTTAAATAAACATTTAGATTATGACTATTTCTAGTCAATACAAATAGGTATTTTTTAGGTTTGATTGATTGCTTTGTGCGAGTTTCTCACCCGCAGCCCATGGCGCTGCAGCCAAACGCTTTTATACTGCGGTACAGCAATTTTAAAATATATTTCTCTGTGTATGAATTCATTATGCCATTTTTTTATAGGAGAGGCGGCAAACGAGCATACGGCTCTCACCTGATGGTAAATGATTACCGCCGCCCATGAGCACCTGCAACACCAGGGGAACTGCAGATGCGTTGCCGGCCTTTTAAAAAGGGAGTAGGCTCGCTTCTTGAAGGTCCCTAAGTCGTATCATTGCCATATTAATTATCAATATTATTTATACTTACATACATATAGTGGGCGTTGTAAGAGGCGACTGAATGAAACAAACCAGGAGATGGGCAGCAACGTCTTCCTTTTAACTACAATTAACAAAAAAAGCTGCAGTTGACCACCGCTTGCAAACCGTGGCAACTATGAAAAATATCCCCCCCATGAGGAAATCTTTGGTGGAGGCCTATGTTCAGCAGTGGACTTTAATGGGCTTCAACGGTAATGGATAGCCCGCCTATTTTGTTGGAATTGGAATCGTGATGTTTAATTACCCTTTATATCAATAACCTATGTTCGAACGGACTTACACCAACATTGTGTAATGACATCTATAAACAAATCAATATTTAATTAAGTTTTGATAGTATTTAACGATAGTGCCAAATTATAATAGTCTCCACAATGATTAGTTAATTATAGTGTTTGTGATGTCTTGTACGTAATTAATTAATGCTCTTAAAATGACTCGTATAAATAAGACTTAATCATATTTAAATTCTTAGTTGTGATATGTATTCTTAACAAAGGATCACGTTTTGTTTTATTTAAAAAATATATATATTTGAAAACAGTGAAAAATACGAGATAATTCAAATGTAAAATTGAGATTTACAAAAAGAAATGTAAGTAATATTTTGCATCTAAAAATCGTTTCATCATTTATCTTTTAAATGTTATAAGGTTTTATCCAATATTGTTATAAGAATAAAATTATGGTGACATCTCCTGATAGTTATTCATAGTTTGTATCACGTATAATATTTTTGTTTCATACTTATTAAATACTAGTACTAGTAATCACATGTGATCAAAATTCGAATAATTACATGGCATACAACCAGAAAGTGATTAAAATATTTCCATTTCATTAGTGATCATGACTGTGCATGTTGTATGAATCTACCTTAACAGCAACATACATACTCGTAGGTACATAACATTTAATTTGCTCACATTTTTGGCGTAATACCTTTCGAATGATAGTTTCTTTCCTCTTCATTTATAGTAAATACTGAAAGAAATAATGTTAACAATTAATGATATTATGATTATTTAAATTGTATTTATTATTATTAATGTACATATTGAGTGCTTTTTTAAAAACTGCAGATTAACTGCTTAATCTTGTTGTCATGAGATTATTATGTTTTAAATTTGCTATAATTTTAGTATTTTTTAGACTTGATAGATATGTATATAATACATGTGAAATATTTATAATGATATTTATTCATTATAGAAATCAACAAATTTAATTTTTATTCCTCTTTCACCACCGATTCACTGGGAAGTCACATAAAACGGCCACTGTTGTGTAAATTTTGAATTTCCTGTAATTGTTTATTGTAACTAATACGCTTTTTCCATAATATAGATATTATTTAAATAAATAATATAATTTATAACAATAGTGATATCTATATATCATTATTATAATAAATACGCTTTTTACATAGGAAGTACCTAGTCGTTGTATTATTAAGATTTTCTATGTCAAGCACCTATGTTTTAAATTATTTAAAATATTCAAATTAAATTCGTGTTAGAGCCATGTTGCAGCCATACATAGTTGTGGCACAAATGGGTCAACTTGAGCGGAGGAGAATTACGCGCTCACAAAATACACTGTTCTTCAGTAGCAAAAATGGGTTAGACGTTGGTATCTACTCAGGTGGACTCCCAGCAGCAAGGAAAGCCTGCCAACAGTGTAAATTGATCCCCGAAAGTAACTCAAAATAATAAAAAGCCGCTTTTCTCAATTGCATAGTAACTATGACAAGGATTCGCTTAGAAGCAAAACTATGAAAAATTCCCATCCCATATTCGGTAGTTCTTTTGATAGGCTGTGGCACAAGAATAAATAAAAATTAAATATTGTGCCCATGTATATATCTCTTTAATGTTAAAATAACTTGTTTTTATTTATTTTAGATGAATTGTTCACTTAACAACGGTCTAAAAAAAGCTAAGCGAGTGAGAAGCGCTTTCACAACAGATCAAATACACGGTTTAGAAAAAGAATTCAATAAGTTTCCATACATCGGTGTCGTCAATCGTAAAGAAATAGCAAAGTCTTTAAACATATCGGAAAGAGCTGTTAAAGTATGGTTTCAAAACCGTAGAATGAAAGAAAAGAAAGATGCTTTCCAAAAGGAATTTCATAATTACGACCAAATTCAACTTGATGCAAAAAAAATTGTTAACGATCAATTAAATAATGTGAATACTATGAAATTAAATGACGAACAAAGTTTGAATTTAACATTACCACAATGTCATTCAAAAACAAGTTTTAGCCAATTGTGCGTCTTGGATTTGATTGAAAATAATGGGAGAAATGAAAAAGAAAACAAAAGTAGAGATGATGTAGTATCATCGCACTTATTTCAAAACAATACAGTTACAAGTAGCACCAACGAAGGTAATCCTACTGGAGAGTTCTCGATAGAGTTATTAAAGAAATATAAAAATAATTTACGACCCAACGCTACTAAAAAAAATTCCAGACATATTATTTCCGCACAAATAAAAAATAATGTCGCTGCTCGAATAAAAAATAATAAAATGCCCCGAAGAAATAATGTTATTCCACAAGTGAGAAATAATGTCTAGTAAAAAATAATGTAGTTCCGCAATTAAAAAATGATGTTCCCCGAGTAAGATATAATGTTCCCCAATTAAGTAAAAATGTGGTTCAAGAAGTAAGAAATAATATCATACCCAATTTAAGTAAAACACCTTTTCCACAAGTCAGGAATATTGCGACAGAAAATTGGGCAACAAATGGAAAAAATAAAAAATGCCAAGAATCGTGCCGAAGTTCATCATACGCTATGTCATCCAGTCAAGAACAGCCTACGTTTGCACAATTTCCTTCGGGATATGTTCAGTTATACCCTCAAAACTGTTATCAACCATCTTGTATGTCAGCCGGAATAATATGGAAACCTATTGATCCCGCAAATTTCTCTGCAATGTCTATGAATAACTTTTCTATACCCAATGCACAAGTTATGAATATACATAGAAATAAATGTTTATGTAATTGCTGCAATATGAACCATCAACAGAATACTGCCGCTTTTCCACGTGAAAGAATTTCTAAGCTGCAATATGTTATAGCAATACCTGTTCATGAAACACCTGCTCATTTTAGTGCACATAATTAGAAAATGTATAATATTATCTTTCCTCTATCTATTTCTTTATTTATTCTGTAAGTCGTTGAATGTAACAAAATGTTGTATTATTTTAATTAAAATTGATATTTGTTAATTAAAGCCTGTATATATGAAATAATTTTTATTTATACCATTTTATTAATTAATTATAAATTTATTTTTAACTTGATATAGAAATTTACAAATATTTTTTCTTTTGTTTTAATTTATACAAGCTATAACATTGATAATTAATTTAAGAATATAATTAAACAATATAAATTAATTTTGATAAATAAACAAACAAAACAATCAAGTAAGTTGCAACAAGAAATAGCGTTTATAGAAGGAAATAAGAATCAGTATTTGAAATTTTATAATAGCTTAATCTTATAAATATAGGAAAGAAACATATTGATCGAAATTTTTAGCGTTGCTTAGTCCACTTTTTAAACTTAATACTATTTAAATATAATAAACAATTCATTAGAAAAACATTGAAGTAAATTAATAAAAATAACAATGTCACAATGATTCCTAGGCTGATTTTTCAATCATCAGATAATAAGTTATCCACCAATTTTTTTGTACATGTTTTATACATTACGCTGTAATTTTTAATTTGCTTCTTATATTTTTCCTATAAATAACTTTTATCTCATGATTGAAAAAAATACTTATCTAGTCGAATGGTACCCTATTTTTTTAAGTCAGCTAAATATGAGTCCTAAGTGAAGTAAATTAATTATTCATTATGAATTGTACAAATCGTACAAAATATTTCCGCTATATTTATAAATAACTGGTTAAAATTAAATAAATTTATTTAAAAACAAAAAATAAAAAATCCATACTTAAACTTACTTCGATGCATCTTTATTTAATATTATTTACATAGGTACCTACTGTAAAGATTATAAACGAAAATTATCTTCTGAAGACACTTGTGTCTCCGTATATTGATTATTGTAGCCGTAATATTGATTATATGGCGGTGAGATGAAATTACATTCATTTTGAATGTGTGGATAATATTGCGTTGGATAAACATTTGTATCATTTTGAAAAGAATAATGTATATATTGGGAATTATTAAAATGTTGTCGATTCATTTGTTGAAAATGTAAAAACTGATTTTGTTCCAAAATCTTTTGTTCCAAAATCTTTTGTTCATTATCTTTGCTAAAGTAATAAGATTTCATTGTATCCTCTTTATTAAAATAATTTGTGGGACCCTGTGCTACCTGTGTTTTAAAATCTTCAGATTGTGCTGAAGGGGATAGAGAATCAGCATGGCCTTCGCTGGACGAGTCGCAACTCGACTCAGAAGATTCTTTCTTCTCCTTCATCCTTCTATTCTGGAACCAAATTTTGACACACTTTTCTCCGAGGCCTAAAACTTCCGAAAGCTTCCGACGACGATCACGGTCAATGTATTTCGTGCGAGAAAATGTTCTTTCCAAAACTCTAAGCTGCTCCGTCGTATACGATGTGCGAATTCTTTTGTTTTTCTTCTTAATTGTTCTTGTAATATTAGTATCTAAAAACAATTATTTATTAAAACATTAACTTAATAAACTATAAATATTATTTTCCCGTGCGAAATCTTTATAAAATTATTTGCTAAACCTGAGTTTTCTTTAGTTGAGACTAAAACTCAGGCTGAGTTCTAGTCTAAACTTCAGCGTATATTATATTCAGCGCATATACCCACAGTCGTCTCTTACAATATACTCAGAAGAAAATGGGGCGATAGTTTCTCTTTCATCGCCACCATGCAGTTCAACTAATTATAGATAAGTTAGTAATAATATTTGCCTACGCTCGTTTTTCTCACAACACAAACGTCAATCCCTGAAATTAGTTTGAAGTGTCAATTGGTATAAAAGTAAAAGACAAAGAAATTTTACTGGTAGATAGAATTTCTACAAATAATTAAATGTCTTTGAATATACCTAATAAATAACCCGATTCAATATTCGCAATATGAATCTAGCGATCAGTTAACCTGATTGCTTCGTCGCAGATCCTGGGTTTGAATCCTAATAATTTAGGTAGGAGGATATAATGGCAGTTTTCTGATCTTGTTGTTTGATGTGATTGATCTGGACTGCTTCCCTAGTAATTTATTCGTGCACATCATCGATGCACTTCTTTTTTTTTTAAATCGGTACCCTTACGCCAGGAGTTTCTACTGTATCGGTAGGGCGGCTAAACACTAAATAAATATAATAAACGAAATAAATACAATTAAAAGTAGTTTTAATCTAAGTATAATTTTATGAAAATCGTATTAACCATATAATTTCTGCTCGTTTTTATCAGGCCAAACATTTGTAAATGGCCTGTTTTCCCAAAAATCGATCTGTAACAAAAAAAATTATTAATTTTAACTGTTAATGAAAAACAAAACAAAAAGCAATATATTGTAAGGAATTGATATTATATGAAAAAAATATTATAACGAAGAAATTATTAATATTTTTCTAAAGTTTTAATTGTTGTTCACGTGGTAGAGCCTCATGTGAGAGACCATGTGGCATTTTGTATGGAGGATGATCAACTAACGCTTCTTGACTGACTGACTTGACTCATTCAATAAATAGACCAGAATATTGGTAATACAGTAAATTTTATCGTCCAAAAATAAATAATATCATAAATTAAGGTTTCCCATAGATAGGAAAAGAGATCCGACATTTTTCAAAAGTTTGGTTATGTAATGGTATTTATAACCAAATAAACTATACTCATACTATTCCGTTCTGTACGGTTGAGAGTACTTAGCACGTGATAGCTCAGGGGCTAAGTGCTAGCTGTAAATTTCAAGGCGAAGAAAAACATCCCGAGGAAACCTGTATGTCTGAGAAATAAGAAAAAAAGTGTGAAATTCGCCAACACGCATTGGGGCAGCGCGGCGGACAATTCCTTGCCCAAAAACCCTCTCAGAAATTAAGGAGACCTGTGCTCAGCAGTGGGACGTACCTATATAGGCAGTTCCCCCAGTTCCGCGCCAGCTTCATATTTTCACAAAATATTTTATTTTTCAAACAAACAACATACTTTAAAAAATAAAACTATTAAAAGGTCAATCACAAAATATTTTTATAATCTCGAAAATTAAGGCTTTCTCACGACGTTTTCGGTACACCGAGCACGTGGGTAGTAAATTTGCAGTTAACACTTTCAATGATGTCGGTGGTAAACAAACTTGCTTTGTTTGTGAGTTATGAAATTTTAGGGTGACAACATACTAATATTGTACATAAAATTATACAAAGCAAAAAACTTTGATTAAAACTACATTTACGGATTTTATTGCGTTTAATTTTACTTTTAATTATTTTTATTTTTAATTCCCGACTTGGTCACGGGGTCCATGGGTGCTGTAAAGCACCCGAAACGTCGGAAGTTAAAAATAAAAATAATTAAAAGTAAAATTAAACGCGATAAAATCCGTAAAAGTAGTTTTAATCAATGTGTATCGTTCGTGTAAATATAAGAAATCATTAAGCAAAAAACTTATTTAAAAAAATAACGAAATCTGATTTATTACAGTCTATCAAAGTACACTGCTTAACATTGGGATATTTGCCAAAGTTCTAGCTTGGAAGGTGGGTTGACACTTAACAACCGCAGTTTTTATAAGTATCATAAAACTCGGAAAAACTCAGAGCATAGCTTGTTGGCCGACCTTGATCTTCCGCATATGGCCAGCGGTGAAAGCCAAAGTCTCAAATTTATATCATCACTGGCAACACTGGTTCTACCTTGTTTTCAAGTTTAAACGACGAAAAGATGTGTCGTAATCTACCGAATGCTGTCTAGCTGAGTTGGATCTGTCGATTGACGACTTCTAGTCGAACAATTTGTCCTAGGTAAACTTATAGTCAACAACTTCGAGCGTGTAAGCGCGCGCAATAACTACCAGCATAAATACGACATGGACATTATAACGAAATGTGGGGAGGCCCTCCTAAATGAAGTTACGATATGGTAACATATTATAGATACATGTAAGTGGTTCAGGACCGTGCTTTGTGGCATTTCTTATGGCCTATATTCAGCATTAGACTCCTGAATAATTAGTTGTTATCAGGAAGTCGTTAATGACTATCTCATGTCACATTTGCTTCTATCGCCTTTTGCGATACTCACGTGATGATATTATTATTATTTATTCTTTATTGAACACCCTACAAAACATGCATATAAACAAAAGATATATGGAACGTTCTTATTGCTGACAGAAATTTCTTCACGACAACCAATTTTGGTTTACTGTAATTCTATAGTTGTGTATTGAATTAAAAAATTATGTTTAACAAAAAAAAAATGAAATACATCCTCACTGTATTGTTACTTTATATTCTATATTAAGGTAATTAAGATTGTATTTAATTTTAAATTTTAATCGATCTTAATTGCGAAAAATGTAGCGTTACTACTTTAAATATCTATAAGTAACTAAATTAGAACATTCGTATTATATAATGGCTAAAGAGAAATTACAGAAAATAATTAATATATTAAGTAATATTCTTACCTCATTTATGTTACTTAAAGGAGTCAGAGTAGTCATTAATACGTTATGGAACATAATGAGCAATAATAATTATAATTAAATTAATTATTTCGATAAGTCACACACTAACGACGAAGCGAGAACTATGATGCAATTACAATGATACAAAATGGATTCTACGCTAAGTTTGATTTGATATTACCCTCTTTTTGCGTTATAAAATACAAAATAGAAAAAAACAGCGTTTTTCAATTTCTTAAATAAGTATGTTATAGTTATTGCTGCCATCGGTTGTATGCTATGCTATAATTTGGAGAAATATTGCTCATACTAACAATGAGGTGACGTCATATGTTATTCAATGTAATAAATAAAAGTCATTTAAGTTATTAGTGTACACAGAAAAACGGAAATTATGCTCAAAATCTATTTTCGCTTTCATTTTTCATTTGAAATAATAATATTTGCCTATGTCATTATTAAAACCCTTTACAAGTCCAGTGCTGAGCTAGGCCTATGTTCAGCAGTGGACTTGTAAAGGACTGTAATGATGATGATGATGAGATGGGGTAGTTTAAAATTTTGTATTGAATAATTTTATTTATCAAAAGTAATTTCTTCTGTATAGTGAAGCCGTTTTAAAAACACATATTGCATTTGGAACAAAATCCAGACTAGAACAATTAGCGGCAGGCCATACAAATATTTGTCCCAAGTGGGAATCATATCCACGACCGCACGTGCTCTCTATATATATATATATATATATATTATATATATAGGGTAAAATGTTACGTTGTAGTCTCATGCTGCAGTGTTATGCAATATCCTTAATCCTAATCCTTACCCGGTCGAGTTAACTCGACCGGGTAAGGATCTCACTTGCGCACATACCAGCATGAAAAAACAGAATAATGCTCCTGTATTTTGCATGGTAAGTGATGAGTACAATAAACCCTTTTTACCCTAACGAGACATTCCGTCTTAGTACTCAGAGGTTAATCAAGGAGTCAGTGCTTTTGGTTCACAGCATTCGCTTTTCGTCGGTTTGTTTGTTCGTTTGTCACCCCTTTTCATAAAAAATACGAAGATTAAATTTCGAAATATTTTTTTAATTTAAATAAAAAATCTTCTGTGTAAGAATATTTAACGTTTATGTTGATAGATAAAATGTGCAGCATATTAATATTATATTTTACTCGATCAATGAAATCCATTACTCCCCGTTACCATATCATCCCGTGGGTGTCGTAAGGAGCGACGGAGGGAAACAAATCAGGAGATGGGCAGCAGCATCTTATACAAAAATAAAAAAAAACTACCGTTGCCGACCTCGCTAAGTGTGGTCTGCTATCTGTAACTATTCCGCCGTATGAGGCAATCTATGGATATTTGTTCTCATTGCAACCTTTTTTAAAACTGTCCTCTAATTACCAAAATCAAATGATTGTTTCTTAATTGGTTTGTTTACGTTTGTAAATATGTAATTTGGCAATAATGTAAATATAGGATTATTTTGCCAGCAGATTATATCTCGCCTATTAACTAAAAAATAAAATATCATTTACTTTCTAATGTAATTTGGTTGCAGTATTTCATTAAACATCAAATGCATACACATTTTACATACGTTTTACACGCTAAAGTTCTGCTAATAACTTTGTTCGACTATGTTCAACAGTGCACTTTTTTTCTTTTTTTTTTCTTTAAAAACGTTATCCCACACTATGATTTTCTACTGTATCGTGTATACATAAGTTGCACAAGGACAAACATAATGACACGGAACAATTACTTTTAGGCCATACAAATACTTGTTCTGTGCGGGAATCGAACCCGCGGACCTCAGTGCTATAACTCATTGCTAAGCTGTGCGCCACAGAGCCGTAATGGCAACGGTACGGAAGACAATTGGGATCAACCATTAAGTTATTAGCAGATATTTAGCGCGTAAAACGTATGTAAAAATGTACATATGCATTTGATGTTTGATTTACAATAAAAAGTAAATAATATTTTATTTTTTAGTTAAGAAACATGATATAAGCAGCTGGCAAAATAATTCTATATATGTTTGCCAAATTCCATATTTACAAACGTAAACAAACCAATTAAGAAACAATCCTTTAATTTTGGTAATTAAGGGACAGTTTTTAAATAGGTCGCAATAAAAACGAATAAATTGAATTTGGAAAGGGATGTTTATTAATGAGTTAAAATCCAAACAGGTATATAAGGGTTAAGTACATTTTGACAGGCATCACTATCACCCAGTGTATTGTAGTGAGATGTTTCCAGTGTGTCAACACAGTACTTTAGGCATGTCGTTTGTAGGTGATAATTCTAATAAATACGAAAGTTCCACCTTCAATGCTGATATTATGAATACCTCGAACTTCGAAACGCAGATAGTAAGTCAATTTATTATTTTAATTACTATTATGTACGACAAATATGTACTTCAAAGGAGTAGGGATTTTAGGCAAACCGTGGTAGATCTGAGGATAAGTGATCGACATAAACTTTCAGTACGCTAGCTAACAGGGTGTGTAGTGTTTTTCTATTTCTAAACAAGAAGGTTCACTAACACACAGTCCACCTGATGGTAAGAGGATTTCTGTAGATACACCATTATATATAAAAATAGTGAAAGCTGAGTTAAAAAAGTATAAATAATAAGTCGCTGTGCGTATTGAAGAATTAAGTGCCAACTTCAGAAGCTATAAATTAACTTCATTTTTATATATAACGTTACTTTTATTTTTAAGTCGGTTTTAACTTTATTTAAAGTGTTTTTATTTGAACTGCTTGAGTTAACTAATACAACCTTAAGGTAACAACTAGTGTTAAGCTTACTTAGTAATAAACAAATATTAAAATCACTGACCAGAAATATATCGAGTAACACGCATACAAAAACGTAGTCCAAAGCAAAATCTTCTTTTTGAAGTGGGTTAGAAATCGAAAATTAAATGTTATCTTCAAGAACTATGATGCCTTGTTATCATCAAAAAGGTTCTCATCAGAGACCATACAAAACACCCTACAATTTTTGCTGCTATTTTATACCGGTATTCCGTGGGGTCCTTTCTCAGTGGATAGATTAGTGCTACGATCATAATACAGCTGCAGCATAGCTCTACTCTGCAAAGTGTACAAATATAATGTATTTATTTAATTATTTTCAGGAGGAGAATCTCCCGTATCAACAGCTTTTACCGTATAGCGACTTTTCATTACAATACGGTCGAAATCTTGTACCTCAGAACGATCAGGTAAATTTATTTAATTTTTATAATCAAGAAACAAACATGTTTGGAAAAATGTTTTAATGCTTATTTATATTTTCTAGTGCCAAGAGATCGAGTCCTTAACGTATAATTGGGATGGATTCAGAGCGACGTCATCGCACAGAACCCATATCAAGCCTGAGAATAACCAAACACATTTTTACTGTTTCGCCAGGGATAATTCGGAATATAGCTATAAAGTGAGACAATACTTACACTTATTTTACTACATTTGAATCACTGTAGGTATTTAGTATCTTTAAAAATTCATAATTTTTTTTAGATACAAAACTCGGTGAGAAGAACTGAAGACCTGCCATTTATGAAACTTCACACTGGCAAAAAGTGTCGGCGCCATTTAATAAGTATGTACAACAAATATTAATAACTGGCCTTTCTCTCTGTTATGCTGTTTTGGTATTTTGTTCAATAAACTTATATCTTTATGTTTTAGATCAAAGTTCACAACATTTTATTACGAAGCGCAAACAAAGGACTGTTTTTAATACGAAACAAATATTAATGTTGGAGAATATTTTTAAGAAGAATCCATACGTAAACAGAGAAGAGAGAAAAATGTTAATGGATATGTTAAACGTAAGCGATCGAGTAATAAAGGTGTGGTTTCAGAACCGTCGTCGATTATCAAGCAAAAGAGATAAAGAACTATCAGATGATTATAACTCAGATTCATCTATGGAGGAAAATTATTCGAATTTGACTTTAGATTATGTTGAATCGAAAATAAATCAAGCTGATGAATTCGGGTATGTGACGTTGGATGACAGAGCAATGAGAGAATTAATAACTGTTATTGACTCTCGTCTTACTATCGAACTTGATTTGGATGAGCCTTGCAAGGAATTTAAGGATGATACCTCTAGTACAAATATAATTTATGAGCCTATTTCACCAGTAAGCATGCAAGATGGTGAGGAAGATGAACATATTTGTGCATCTCGTTGGCAGTCTCACGAACCCGAAGAGTCCTTAAGACGTTTATTTGATGTACAAGCTTTTATAACCAAGTGATGTTTTTTCTCAATAAAATACCCTGATAATTTATTATTTTATTGTTTATTTGCTAAGCGCCTGCTGTAAGTTAAAAGTTAAGCTATGCTAACTTTTTGCTTTAATTATTAGCTATCTCTTGTTTATGTAGACATTTATCATCATCATTATAGCATATCACAAATCTACTGCAGAATAAAGGCCTCCCCAAATAGTGCTCTCTAGTAAGTCAACTGCATCCATCCACTTCCTCACAGTGACACCCAGTTCCTTCTTTCCAAGCCTGGTAACTATGCTATACACTATGAGCTACGAAATAAAGGCAATTAATTAGGACTGACCAAGGATGGACCAAGGAGTAACTCTGATACTATTGGTAGCTTATCTTGCCTAATTTAGTTTTGTTTAAAGTATAAGAAGCATGGGGAAATCATTACATAATTTATGTTAAACATGTTAGCTCTAGCTGATATTCGATTCCAGAATTGGATTGTAAACGAAAACTTTTTAATTATTTCATTCTACGGCCGATAATAATAAATATAAATATTTATGTATAAATAGTTTCTGGCAGTAATTATTCCTGCATGTTGAAATAAAGCTTGCGAAAGAAGTTCACAAAAGTTAAAAGCTTCGTACAGTCTTATCGTGTTTGTCTATGTTGTATTATTTTTATATTTAAACAAGCTAAATCCGGCAGACTTTTTTTATAGGAAAGAGTGACAAACGAGCACACAGTCCACCTGATGGTAAGTGGTTGCTGTGGCCCATAGACATCTACATCTATCATAGATTACAAATCAAATTGCAGATGCGTTGTCAACCGTGAGGACTAAGATGTAATGCCTCGTTTCCAGTAAAAAGGGTCTCCGGTTCTCTATACTCACCATACAAAACACAGCACCATTAAGCTACTATTTCACGCTGGTATTCTGTGAGAGCGTGGTCCTTCCCCGGTCGAGCCGACCCATTCTTGCTACAACTATACTACTAATATAACTACAGCATGGCTCTACCACGTATAAAACCTGCCAGGTAATATCATAGGTTGTGTTCCGCAATGTTCTTTACTTCAGCGATTGTAATTTAATTTATTAATTGCCGCGTTTAATTGAAAAAAAGCAAATAATATAAAAAAAACTAATTTTGTTTGTTCCAAATTTCATTTTCAATGTATTTTTTTTAAATGTGTAAATATAAAACTTCTGTATTTAAAAGTACATGTATATACAAATTTTTATGGTATTTGATTAAGTAGATTTTGGGTTAAACTATTCATATATACAAACATCCTCTTTTATATGTATAGGTTTCAGTCATCAGTCTTTAAGAATTTATAAATTTTTAATTAAATTTATAATTAAAGTTACAAAGATTAAGTTTTAGTCAAATGTAATCTATACAAATGTTTGACTGTATTAGTTAAATAAAATCTAAATCACATATACAATGAGCATTTATTCAATATAAAAATAACATAAAAAATTGTTAAAAAAATAACAAATATTTTTAAATATATAAGTAGTATTTCCCAAAAGATAACTTACTTTGTGCTTTTACCTAATTAAGTATTTAATATGTACATCATGAAGATTGTTACAGTTAAAAGTCAATTGTTTTTACAAGGAAATATAAGATGAAAATTTACTGTTAGCCGCAGTGCTAGGGTTTTGATTGGTAGCATCTGGTGTTGCCAAATATGTAAAATACGGGTCCTGTGTGAATGGCAAATTTGCGGTTCTCGATTGTAGATTGTTATCCTCGTAGGTTGGCGTTACTGTCGTCGAAATAGGCGCATTGAATATATACGTATCTGTTGGAGGCGGATGCATAACAACCCCACTAGATAATGGATTATAATACGAACCGGTCGAGTACCGTGTTACATCCTCGTTTAGTTTCAAGTTTACTCCGTTAGGCACATAGCTGTCCGACTGTAGCGAAGATAGTGCATTAGAATTCGGCTGCAGTGAATCATCGGTTCCGTAACGATAAACCTCAGATATCGGTGAGTAAGCAGCTCTACTTGTTCCTGCACTATAGTACGACGAATATGACAAGTTGGGAGTATATGCTGGCAGCTCAATTTTTGAGGATCTTTCCATCAAGTTTTGTGAACCTTTGATCACTGTTTTTAAAGAGTTAATTGAAGAGTAATCTGAAGGTCTAGATAACATGTCGTTGGAACCAACATACATTTTATGATGACTTGCGTGACTATCTGTGAGTAATCTTCGATGACGATCATGCCCGCCGCAACTTCTACCATGGCTCATCTTATGATCTTGAGTGGGTGACGTTTCTTTGGAACTCGACGGGCTGCTGTCATCCACTGATGAGGAGGGTTTGTTATGCTTATTGTCCTTCTTATATTTCATTCTTCTATTTTGAAACCATATTTTAATTTGGCGTTCTGAAAGCTGGAGATAATTTGCCAGTTCTATGCGTCTCGGTCGACATAGATAGCGGTTTTGATGAAACTCGTTTTCCAACTCCACCAATTGTGAACTCGTGTACGCTGTACGGGCTCGCTTCGTAAATCCCTTCTGGTATAAAGCCGTGTCTGTAGGCATATCTGAAAAATAATAATAAATAATAAGTAAATTATATTTATCCTTTCTTCATATAGTTTTTTTACCATAGTTTTTTTTTACTTTAATTTTAATTCTTACCGTTTGATATAGAAGAAGCTGCACTGATGACAGGGTTGTTATTTGTCGAAGAAGTTTTGCTCCAGGAAGAACTCTGAAACACGATGTAATTTTATGTGAATCACTTATAAAAATGCGTCCGACTACTTCAATGTAATTAACACAATAATGCAATACTATATAGTATATACCTTAATTGCTTCTATCTGAGACCAAATTAAATGGTCATTACTAATCCGGTTATTTCGTGGTAAATCACAGTTTTGACCAGAGTTTATAAGAAAGGTTTACTATTCGAATAGAACCGGTATATTGGAAACATTAAGGCGTATATTACTTTGAAATATTTACCTGGTTGGGAAAACTAGATTCACGTAAATCGTTTATGTCCCTTACAGTATCTTTAGGCAGTACAACATCGTTTTCTATACTGTTTCTATGGTGACATTGTACAGGTTCATTAGGTAAATAATTTCTATTGTAAGTCATTTGGTTGTCCATTTGAATATTAGAAGAAAATATATCACTTTTGTTCAAACAATCATGGGATGTCACTTCCTCAGTTCCCGAACCGTAGTCGTTATGGGAACCGTTACTTATATTTTCATAATTGCATATTTGATAATCATATTTTGACTGTAAATCCCCCTGTGCGTTGCTCGCAGCATACGACTGATGAAGCCCAAGAATATCGTGAATACTAAAACCTGTCGAGTCCCTTGAGTTATAATCTTGCGAGAAGTTATTTGAAACCACGCTTAATGCCTCTGTCTTGCAATCTGGAAACACATTTTCTTGCGTTCCATAGTTAACCCCTTCGGATAAAATATCTTCTACTCCATGTGACGTCAGTGTGGTCAACTTGTATATATGTTTTTGATTTTGTTCTAGCACTAAATTTGAATTATACTGCGATGTAATTGTAGAAGAGAACTCGGATGAAGATGAGTCCCTAGATTCTTGATCGGATTGCAAGCTTGGTGGCGATGGAGTCGGTGAAGACATTTTAACAACTTTTAACACTGATTTACTATACGTCACAATGTCATTGATACACAAAAATTATGCACTAGCGACCGTACCGTTAAAGATTTGTTTACTAAATGCTTTTTCTTCACCTGAATGTCGTTAATTTGGTAATGACTTTATTCGTTTGTGTGCTGTATTCTGTTAGAGCCGATTTGTTTGTGTGCGACCGATAAGACGGACATACCGGGTCTCCGATAATAAACGAATACAAGATAATAGTTTAAAATATATCTCAGTAGCTAAAAGGCCTGTCAGAACTCCTTAAACTAAACTAGATAATTGGGTCTCGGTTACTGATATGTACAGGATTATTCGAATGCATTTTCTTTCCTTATTCAACCCGTGCACTTAATTTTTACTTAGGTAGTAAAAAAAATGTTGAATTAAAGGTTTGTTATTTTATTTTAAAGGTTGATTTTAAAGTTACCTAAATAAGCAGCATTAAAATTGTATTACTAAAACATTTAAAATTGTAAACGTTACTTTAAAATGTTCTTTGTCTCAATATTTAGGTTGATACGTATGCCTTGAACTAGGTGGCGATATCACGAAACCACAATTGGTTACGTCGACAAGTCCAAGCGAAGGTAATGTATGTAGGCCCCTTACCTACACGCCGATATAAAACTCGTTAAGATAAAATTCAATCTTATATGAAAAATTTAATAACGAATGTATCTGTAGCGTTTCAAATTCGATTTTCCTTCTGAATTAAGAATTTTAAAACAAAGAGTTATAATCTAAAATGTTATTTTTGTATACTTTTTTTTATAAGATAGCGTGACAAACGAGCACACAGTCCACCTGATGGTAAGTGGTTGCTGTAGCCCATAGACATCTACATATATCCTCGATTACGAATCAACCGTAAGGAATAATATGGAATGCCTCGTTTCCAGTAAAAAGGGTCCTCCAGTTCTATAAACTCACCATACGAAACACAGCAGTATTAAGTTACTATTTTACGCTGGTATTCTGAGAGAGCGTGGTCCTTCTCCAGTCGAGCCGACACATTTGTGCTACAACTATACTACTAACCATAACTGCAGCATGGCTCTGTCACGTATTAAACTAAGGTTTAAGCGTGATGGCTTAATTCTACTTGTTTTCAATAATCTCATAATATAAGAGTACAGTAACATTCTTTATTACGCAGCGGTATTTTGGCTATAATAAAATTAGGTATTTTTTAATAGGAGAGGGGGCAAACGAGCATGCGGCTCACCTGATGGTAAGTGATTACAGCCGCCCATTGAACAACCGCAACACCAGGGGAATTACAGTTGCGTTACCGGCCTTTAAGAAAGGAGTAAGCTTTATAGCAGAATCCCAGCGTAAAAT